AAACTAGTCATTGTATTTAAAAAGATAAATCTCCCAAATTTAAATAATAATGTTGTCCAAAATCAACATAAATATTTAATAATTTGAAAAGCTTTACAGGTTTGATCATCTGCTACTTTTACTTTTTTTTAGCTTGCTTTATCCTAACTATGTTAATGTTATTTTGTTATTACTCAGATATTTTTAAAGCTTTATTTTAAATTTTTGAACTAATTTATAATAATTAAGTCTTTGTTATTACCCATAGATATTTTTACAGCTTTATTTTAAATTTTTTGAACTAATTTATAATAATTAAGTTTCTAAAATGATTGCTTTCCTCTAGTTCATTGAGGGATTTTTCGATCAATCTTACTGTCAAAAATTATTGTTGCATGCACAAATTAGTGATGAGCTGAGCGAAGTTTAAATTCTAGTTTAAATTCTGAGAACTTGTTGTGTCTCAAGATGTTCAACCTTTACAATTTTTTTTTGTGCATCCTTCTCTGTGAACATCTGTCCTGGCCTTCTGACCATGCCTTTGTTTTCCACATTAGGAACAGGCTGCTGTGGAAGCTGCGGCCTCCAGTGAGACAAAAAAGTCCGAAACTCCAAACTCTAACTACAGAGACAAGTACAGCCATTTGATTGGCACCTCGGCTGCGAAGGACGCAGCACACACACTGGAGGCAAATAGCACGTACGGCTGTGGTGAGTAGATGTCGTCACATTAAAGGTGCATTACTTCTCTTCATCTTCATCGCTTGTCCAACAATCCTCTTCATTACTCTCTCAGTGCCGGTGGCCAACAAGAGGGACACACGCTCCATAGAGGAGGCCATGAATGAAATCAGAGCGAAGAAACGTCAGAAGAGAGAAGACGAAACGGTGGCACACACCAGCAGCAGCTCCTGAGTTTTTACTGTCACGTCTACTGTTGTGTGTGCGTGTGTGTGTGTGCGTGTGTGTCTGAACACCCACAGTGTATCCTGTGAAACAAAACTTCTAAAAATGTAACTTATGGCAACAAGGCATGAAATTAAGTATTTATGCCTCTCTACTGTGAAACCATATTTAAAAGTAGAGAATTTGGGGTTTGTGTTGGTATAGTTTGAAGATGTAGCGCCTCCTCTGGCCCTCGTAGGCGGTGCTACAAATTCAGCCTGAACGCCTTGTTCATCAAGGTTGATAACATTTTGCGGGCCTGTTCCTCCGCACCTCCTGTGTAAATGGCCATTTAAAAATTGTAGACAGATTTATCAACTGTAGTTTTATCAGAAGCTAGGGTGATCTGGTCCCTGTCAGCAAACTGAGGGACAAATTATGTTTGAGTGCGACAATGTGAGGTTACAAAGTAGCACTAAAGTCTGGACTCTCCTGAACTACCATGTGTTCTATAAATCATCGCATAAAACAAAAATAATCGCGTCAAAACAACCATTAAAGTCCCCCCTCTCTCTTTTTGATTACCGCCATTATTGAGCGCGCGGATTAATACAGTGTCGAGTGAACAGGTGACAGTCTCATGCGATGCGACCGGACTACTTTTTACTTCCCAGTCAGTGGACACATAAGTGACGTCACATTAATCGTCAGTAGTATGGACTTCAATTCCAAGGAGGCTGGCGTAAAGTTTGACGATCTGAGAATGTGGAAACATGTAAATGTTGGACATCAGGTCGCTGTATCCACAGGTTATTGGAACATTTTTAGTCACCGCAGCTCTCCGTCCTCGGCTCCTGTCGCACATATATTCAATATGTGGGAGATGAGCACATTTACTGTTGTTGTCTGACTTTGTAACTGAATTATTGACCCGGTATTGCCACTGTACCTTTTTAATCGCTCTGTTTCTCTGTTAATGTCAGGCATTGAGAATGGTACCGACAGACTCGGACTTGGTTGGGTCGCGGGTTTGTTCGGTCTCGTCCGGTGTGGGTGACATGACTTCTGTTTTTAACATGGTTGCACTGTTTTATCCTAAATGAGTGTTAATAAACGGAGAACAGTATTTGAACCGCTGCCTTTATTTTACCGTCACTTTCGCTTTGCAGTTAGTGTTAAATGTGTTGATTAGAGGTTTTGTTTACTATCACATTTGCTTTATACCATGTTATAAATGTTACGATTTTTGTTTGGCCTCAGGAAACTTATCTGAAACCTAAATGGCCACAGAAGTAAATAAAACAAATTACTTTCGTTGTTAGAAAATAGTACCAGACTTACAGCATCACCAGTTTAGTTTAGTTGGCCTTTATCTGGACCCCTGCAGCTTTCAGTCTATTTTCAGCTCGTGTGCTCACTCTTCTGTCATCCCTGTAGTTTACGCCCGCATCGACAACTCCGTCCCGTAGAGGGCGCCAGGGATTAGTTTAGAAATATTTATTTAATTTTGCAAACGGGGGGGAAAAAACCTCCCAGTTTCACGCTGTCCCGCAGTTTGCGTCCTGTAGACTCATATTTATTGCGCACTGAAGTCTGTGACACGCACATGGAGAAAAAATGAAGTCCATGCTTTTCTTCTTCTTCTTCCTCTTCCTCTTCTTCTTCATCATTTGGTTTGCAGATGCGGACTTGAACAACCTCAAAGGTAAGTCCAGAAGAAGCAGAACTGATGCGACGTCTGAGAGTCCAGAGAAAAGTCACGGGTTTCTGTTGTCTTTTATGTTTATTTTTTTTACCCAAAAACCAACGCATTTTTTCTTAATTATGAACTGACGCCGTGAAGACTAGATCGGCGTTTTTGTGACAGCCTCGGAAGAGGCTGAGGTTGGATCACGTCTACTCACATGTTTGGTGTCTTCTGTCGGACTTCGTACTTTATCTGCTCCACATGTGTATCGTTAGATTTCATTAGACCTTGTGTCTCCTTCACGCCCAGGTTCTAAGGTGGTGTGTACTTTCAAAGACGAGACCTACAGCCCGGGGGACAGCTGGCATCCTTATCTGGAGCCCTTTGGATTAATGTTATGTATGCGTTGTCTCTGCACTGAGGTAAGATTCTTCTCTTTTTTTTATTACAAATTTAAAAAATGTCTTTTATGTCCCACAGTGACATGTCTTTTGTTCAATGACGACAGCAGAATTTTAGGGATTAAAGTTTGTTTTTTTAAATGAATTTCACTGTAATTTTAAAGCAAAACTTGTCAAAAAAACTCAACATTCCTTTTTACAAGAGGGGGGCGCGAATCTGTCAAAAAAAAAACTCAAAAAAACATTCCTTTTTACAAGAGGGGGGCGCTGCAGAGAAAAATGGGTATTGCTGCCTCCGAGCCCAAAGACAAGTTCAACCCAGGGCTCTAATTTAATCAGTGCTGGGATTGGCACCGGCACCCACTATCTTGTATAGGCAGTAATGAAAAAAATAATATGATGGGAATTAAAGCAGAAAGTCAGAGAACATTGAAATGAATCAACGATTCTCAAACTATGGTAAGTGTACCCCTAAGTGGTACACGTTCAGATCAGGTGAGACACAGTTGTTATCAGATGTAGTTGTGTCAGTGTCAGTCATAATACAGTGTAGCTGCGGTTTTTAAATCTTCGTAGTACAGTGTAGCTGCGGTTTTTAAATCTTTTTCAGAGGTGATACGTTGTGTGAAGAGTTTTGAGAACTGCTGACTGCCGTCTGTGAACTTTATGTCTGTGGTCTCTCAGTCAGGCCATGTGAAATGTAACACCATCAAGTGTCCTGTTCTGCCCTGTGAAAACCCGGTGCCTGAGCCTCAGCAGTGCTGCCCTAAATGCTCAGGTAGGTTTGTTGAGAGAGCTGTGACACAACCCGCGCCCCTCGTGTTTATGACACCCTGCCTGTGTGATGTGTCACCCACAGATGCTCCCAGGATCCCTGCAGGTCTGAGGGCTTCGGTCCGATCCTGCAGGTATAATGGAAGTGTTTATCAGCAGGGAGAGACCTTCACCAAACATGACCTGTTCCCCTCCAGACAGAGCAACCAGTGTGTCCTGTGTACATGCTCAGTGAGTTACACATGATTTATTACTATGGCGTTTGCCCTTATAAGGCATGACTTTGAATGGATGGATGATTTTAGGTGTAATTAAAAAAAAAGAGAAATTCTTGAACCAGCAGCGACTGAATTCAAAGGCTTTTTTTTCTTCTTCAAATCTTCTGCCCAGATTTGGAAGATTTGACAAGATATGATGATGACAGTTTGTTTTTCTGTTCCGAGGACAAACAGTTTTGAAGCTGCCTTACAGCCATCCATTTCAAGCCAAAAAAACTAACAAAATACAGTCCAAAATTTGTGCCTGATTCTAGATTTGAAGCATAATCTCATTACCTTTTCACGCAACTTTATGTGAAACGTGATCGTTTAGGAGAGAGGAAAATGCTGACACGAACCGTCGAATTGCACGTGATGGTGAAAAGTGAGGCGAGAGGAGCATCTTGCTTTGGTTTGTGCTTTGGCTCCGTCCGTCTGCCAATGGCTTCCAGGGAAGAGATGAAAGCTTTGATTTACAAAACAAAAGTCAGATACTGTGGACATGAGGAAGAGAAGTGGAGCCAGGGTTGAAGTCACTCTGGCTTTGTCCTGATGTGAGGAGATTATTTCATGACTTGTTAAGTTCTCCTCTGTTGATACGTGTTTTGTTTTTTTTTTTATCTCCATGGAGACATAACATGATAACATACTCAAAAAGGTACTAATTTAGCTTTTAAACAACAATTGTAATTGCATGTATAAAGAAAGAAAGGAAGCAGCTGTTTCAGACTCACCTTACAGTCCATTAATGTTTATTATAATTAAGAAAAAAATGTAAACAAAAATATTAATTACTTAATACCAAGTATTTTTTATTTTATCAGTTTACTATGCTTACTGATAAAATAAAAAATAAAAATAAGTTTTTTAAAGTCTTCAAAATATAAAACAATCCTTCCAAATTACTGTGGCATATTTTTCTGCCCTTAAAAGTTTTTTAAAGTTTTCAAAATATAAAACAATCCTTATTACCAAATTACTGTGGCATATTTTTCTGCCAGGCTAATGGCTAGGCTAGGCTGCTAGGCTAATGGCTGGCCTAAGCTCCAAATATAGTTAAAAAACCAGATATTATTCGTGGTTCAAAAAGACTTAAAGTTGACTAAAACGGGACTAAAGTCTTTAAATTTGTCTTTTATATGCTGTATTTGAATTCAGTGGCAGTTGTAGGTGGTTACAAACAAATCTTGAAGCCCTTTGTATTGGGCGGTCATTGCTGCTAGGCTAACGGCTAGGCTAAGAAAAGCACAGAATGTAAATATGAAACTTTGTGAGATTAAAAAAAGACTTAAAAGGTGATTTTAAACTAACTTTTTACACATTTTAAATGCTTTAAACATTTAAACATTTTCAGGATATTTTATTACGGCTAGTATTACACATCTGTAGCTGTAGCGTTGCTATAGATGATTATAGCCCTATGATCATTAACTATCGTCCTCAGATCTTTGGCTCTTTTTGATACTTGATAACAACACTGTTACTTTTCTAATTCTAATTGTACATTTTCATATTTTATATTAAATATGAGCAGCGAAATAAAAACCAGCCGCTCTGTTAAGTTGTATCGTGTCAGACAGGAAGTCCATCCCTCGTGGACCCACTGGTTCCAATTTCCTTCAGGTATCTGTTGTCTCCAGGCCGGTGTCACGACTGTGACGGTGGTTCAGCTGGTTCTTGGGTGTTTCTGCGTCTGCAGAACGAAGGAGAAAATGTGATTTCCTCACATTAGTTTCACGCTGTTACATTAGATCCCAGATGACAGTCTGATTACAGTGTTTGGACCGAAACACGTTTCCTTCTTTTCTTTCCACAGAATGGAAAAATCGTCTGTGCTCTGAAAACGTGCCAACCAATCAGCTGCTCCTCGCCGGTGTCAGCTCCAGATACCTGCTGTTTGGTGTGTAAAGGTAGTCAAACTCTGAGCCTGGTGCCAATAAAGTGTCTCCGGTCAGTTTGGCAGAACAAGAGAACTGGTTTTATCACCTGTGGATGTGAAGTGAAGATCAGTGGATGTTAGTGACCTGACGAACAAACAGAAGGAAAATAAGACCTAAAATAAACAAATGAACAATAACTATTATACAGTCGTAAACCACACTAGTTATTTAGGTTCTACCCAAAAAAGTGTAATCCGTCCAATGTTTTTTTTTTCCTCGATCATATTCAAATTTTTTAAATTAATTTTTAAAAAAAAATTATTTTAAAAAAATTAAAATTTTAAGTACAAATTTAGATTACTTTAAATACACAATTTTTAAAAGTTGAAGACTGACTTAAAGTTAAAACATTTTTAAATTAAATGTTTATTTATTTTTATTGTATCTTCTTCAGATCACGGCTCCAGTGGATCTTCATCAGCTGAAGATGGGAACCAGCAGTTGAACATCAGTGTACGTCTCAGCCAATCACTGCAGACTCTTCTTCTAATAAAACACGTTCCAGTGCAGCCGAGCGACCAGGCTGTATTTACAGGGCTACGGCTCAGGGCTGGGGGACGAGTGTCCGCTGTGATGAAGAGTCATGGAGGGTGACATGAGGGTCACTGCAGGCTGCAGGGGCTCTGCTCTGTGGCCGACCTTGGGCTTTGACCTTTGCTGTGTAATGTGTCAGGAAACCAATGACTCTCTGCTGAGATTTGCCCCCGGACGATTTGGCCCAGGTTTACACCGCGGTCCTCAGATCCAAACAGAATAGTTTCATTTGCTGAGGTCAGTAAAGATAAGGAATCACTTCAGAGCGAGAGGAACGAAGGTGAACTGGAGCAAAACACCGTTGGTGTGTGTGTGTGTGTGTAAGCAGGGGGAGGGGCGAGTGGGCGAGTGGTTAAAGTGGATGACATCAGGTCATCAAAGGTCAACCATTTAGAGTAATGGACAGTAAACAAGGTGGAATGGACGGATGGATGGATGGATGGATGGATTCGGCCAAAAGCAGTGAGACCTGCTTTAACAGGGGCCACAAACTCCTGGTCTGCGGACCACTTCTGGCCCCTAAAATCCTCACTTTCGGCCAAAAACTACAGAGACATTTAATTCATTCATTTTTATGGTTTTAACTTTTTTTTTTGACTTACTCTCGTATTTTCAATTCCATCACTTTGTTGTCATTCTAACAAATACATCCAAGGACTAAACATATTGATTTTTGGTCATAACAGAGACATCCAGTCGATCAATGTGCAGCAGAGTCGGGTCGGGCGAGGTCCGACCGTGCCACCGCACCCAGGGTCAGGACGTCTCCCAAAGGCCTGAGTCTGAGTAAACTCAACCTGAAAGGAGCTTCAGAGACGACGGTGAAGATTTTACTGCAGAAGAAACACCAGAGAGGTGAGACTTCGTCAGAACACAGAGGGCAGATCGCACTCATAGGTGTTTGATTTTTACGGGCATCTTCCTCGGGACTTTACGATCGTCTCCATATGCAGCACAAACACTCAGATGTTTCCAATTTCTCTGCAGTGTGTTTGTACAACGGCAAGACGTACTCACACGGAGACATGTGGCACCCAGTTTTGGGCAAGGTCCTGGAATGCATCCTGTGCACTTGTACCGATGGCCTCCAGGACTGCAAACGGATCACGTGCCCCAGTCAGTACCCGTGCCAACAACCTGTGAAGTCAGCGGGAAAGTGCTGCAAGACTTGTCCAGGTAAGAGGTTTTAATTGATTTTTTAAAAAGTATTTTTGTGGGTGGTTTAGTCAAGGTGACATCTTTTTGGAAGATACGCTTTTATTTCTATATAGAAACGTCGAGGAGTGGCAGAAAAGTACAATAGTATGGTGTATGACATGTACAAGAGCTGTGCAGTCAAAATGACAGATGGGTTGAGTTAAGAGTTGAGGTTATAAAAGGCATTGTGTCTGAGCCTCTTCCCAAATGCCGCCAAAAAAAAAAACAGCGATACGACGCTGTTGCATCGTCCACTCAACGTCACTTCCATTTCTTCTTCCCAGAACCTCACTCTAAAAGTAACCACACTCAGTGTCAACTAGGATCTAAAAACAACGTCACGGTCTATAAAGTTAGGTCGTCTTTACGAGTGGATCCGTCCGACACGGTCAGGATCATTGCTGTGGAAAAACAGAGAACTGCTGAGGTTGAAGTGCAAGCGTGGAAAACTGTAGAAGGTAACGTAACGACTGGTGACGCCCAGTTTTTGTTATCTTGATGCTAATTTGTAGCGCTAATCGTGGCTAACTTGTGGTGTATTCTTTTATTTAAATTGATAATTATTTCCTGTTTACCTTTAGGTTACCTTACCGCTAAACTTTTGGGTCATTTAATGGGCTCTGTTATGCTAATTGTGAGCTAACCATAAGCTATTTTTTGCTAGATCGATGCTCTTTAAGCAAGTAATACTTAATTATCTTGGTTTATATCAGACAGTTAATGATTCATTTTTCAGTTGTACTTAACTAGCTCTTTTTTCATTAAACTTCTTCTTAAGCTCACTAGCTAACCCTCGTCTAGTCTTAATCTATTCTTGTAGGCAATTTTTTAATTTATAAAGTTGTTATGCTAAGCTAAGCTAACATCCTGACTATCTATGTATTTGCTCAGGTGTTTTACAACTATCGTCTAGTGTTAATCTATTCTTGTAGGCAATTTTTTTAATTGATCAAGTTCTGCTAAGCTAAGCTAACATCCTGACTGTTTATGTATTTGCTCAGGTGTTTTACAACTCATGGAGATTGCTGACAATCAGAGGAAATACATCCTGGATCACCCAGAAAACTACACGATGCTGACGACCTTGAACGAAGGTCCGTGAAGAATCTTTCAGCGTTCGTCGTTCTCTTAATGTCAGGCTGTTGAAAACAGGGTTGTTTATTGGTGTTTTAATCACTTTTAATGTTATTTCTTCCAGAGAAATGGAAAAAATTCAAAGAGCAGAGAAGAAACCTGACCGACGCTCATCAGATCACAGTCTGTGCAGACGGCATCAGGGAGGTCGTGACCTTTCTGAACCCCGGACAGACAGAAGACCTCTGTACGCCCTAATAACTGCACGTGTTTACATTCATACTCTTATGTCGGCCAAGCATGTTGCACTTCGACGCCCCCATGTGGTTGCTGTCTCATTATCCAGATATTTGTCATGTGAGGTATTTACCTGTATAGTTTTTTTTTTGCGGATCATGTGACTGTCCATCGACAGTGATGTTAAAGAAGCAGCTTATGTCAAGTTTCACACGTTTTTAATATGCAGTACTGTGCAAAAGTTTTAGGCAGATGTGGATGGGATTCAAGTTCAGGGGATGTGGTTCAAGTTCAGGGTCACGGGGCCAAATATGGTCGTGCCTCAAGGCAGGCTCGTTTCGTGTCCACCTAGAGGCAGCCCCAGCTTCTATGATTTTTCTCTGAAAAAATTAGTTGTTTTTTTATATTTTCAAATTCATTTAAAAATATACATATTTCAAAATGCCCTATTACGAGAAGATGTAGAAAATGGACGTGTCTGCCTAAGACTTTTGCACAGCACTGCACTGTTTTGTTAAGGATACAAAGAATGTTGTGCAAGTATTTATTGAGTTGTTTTTTTTACATTATTTAAAGTCTATACAGAAAGTTTTTTTGTATAATTTTTTTGTACATTAAATACAAAATCCATGACTGTGTAAATGTGTTTTTTTTTTTTCATTTTCCTGATGACGTGTTACAACTGCACATGCCAGGAATAGTTGTAGTGATTTTAAATGTCGGTTGTTGCAGCGGCTCCTTCCTCGTCTTCTCAGTACCGTTCCCTCGTCAGTATTTGTTTTCCCCGCTCCGTCTTTTATGTTTTTAATGTTTTTAATGTTGTACGACTCGCTTGAATGGAAATAATGTGCCTGCAGTCAGACCGTGTCAGACTGTGAGGACGTTGATTCAAACCAGGCCAGAAATGTGGCTCAGATCGCTTAAACGTTTCTCTCAGGCCGTGGATTGTTCCGAGATCGTGTTAAATCGTTGATGTTCTGCCGGCGATGGGTCGTCAGCGTGTCGTCGCCCTCCAGGCTTCAATAATTAGAACGGCAGAAGCTCGTTGGAAGTGTTTCCTGTGTGAACATAAATGTTGTCACAGACGTGAGAATGAAAAACAGAACTTCCAACTTCTCTCTCCTCGTTCCTCCTGTTTTTCCCCGAACTTTTGTTTCTGCCCTCACAGAAACTCGCAAATGAATTCCTTCACCTTGACAAAACCCTGGACAATCCTGACCCACAGTTCTCACGATGACAAGGTCAAAATGTGTAGAAAAAACAACCCCAACTTTGTGCAGTGGCCTCGCTCTCTTATTGGCTAACACCGAGTTAGCTACTCTTTTGTTTCATCGACCTTTTAGTCATTTTAATATTAGGTTTTATATATTTATGTCTATGTTCTTAGCAGTAGGTAACAGTGTTCAGCAATGGGTAACACAGTGTAACTGTACGAGCATGTAACAGTGTGTAACAGTGTATAAGTGTAACAGTGGGTAAGAGGGTGTAACAGAGTGTAACAGTGTATACGAGTCCCTAGCGATGTGTACGATGTAGCCTTGTCTTGTAAGAGGGCAGGACAATGCATAAGGACCTGTAACAGTGTGTGACAGAGTAACTGTAACTGTATAAAAATGTGTAACAGTCCTTATGCATTGTCCTGTAACACTGTAACAGTGTGTGACAGAGTCACTGTAACTGTATAAAAATGTGTAACAGTGTGTAACAGTGTATACAAGACCCAAGCGATGTGTACGATGTAACCTTGTCTTGTAAGAGGGCAGGACAATGCATAAGGACCTGTAACAGTGTGTGACAGAGTAACTGTAACACTGTCTAACGTTGTGTTATCTCTAGGTTCCATTTGCTTTCGTTACTGAATTCCTGGTGGATTTAAAAAAAAAAAAAAAAGTCCGATTGTTTTGTCGAACTCGGCTGAACTCCATGTATTGTCTATAATTTCATTAGCGTTGAAACAAAGTTATTTCTCACGATCGGGGCCTGGAACCTCCAGATCTTTCAACACTCTTCTGTCCCAGACTCTGTCAACAATTAACACACACCACGGTTGAGTTTCTCAAATGTCCAGACCAAAGACCTCCGAGGGTTCAGAGCGGAGGTCTGACCGTCTGTCAGCCATCATGAAGCCGCGGAGCTCCATCGTCCATCAGGAGGAAAAATAAACAGTCCAGCCGGCAGTGAACTTCTCTCCAGGAGGAATCCAGTCCCGTTCTCCCTGAGCCAAACCTGGAGTCGGACTCTCCTCAGGGACTCAGAGTCAAACAAATCCCGACCGAACATTTCTCAGGCCTGATTGCGGTGATGATTTCTCCAGATGTGAGCGAGCGGCTGGTGTTATCAGAGATACGAGGGGGATTAAAACAGCAGATCTGTCTGAGGTCTGGTCTGATCCACACCGTCCAAACTCCCCTCCATCACGTCTTCTGTTATTCTGTCCTTTGGACACAGCGCCTGCGTCTCCTGCCAGGTTCTGATGTATCACAGAGATCTCAGATGGAATGTGTTTCCACTTAATATCTTCACCTCCTAGGATTTTTTCCCCCCTCGGTAAAAAGTCAAAGATGAAAAATTAAAAGTGAAAGTTTTTTACTTACTTGCCATAAAAAAGAAGAAGAAGAAACAGAAGAAGTAGAAGAAGAAAAGAAGGAGAATATGGAGTAAAAAATAAGAAGCAAAGGACGTATATTTCACGCTCCACGATTCTTCCTAAAGGGTTCGTAAAGGGTTAATATATACGTAAATAACATAATAACAATCACGTACTTTGTGGTTTTTCACTACAGTAAACTGGTTTCCTAACTATCACCTACTTTGCGGTTTTTCACTACAGTAAACTGGTTTCCCGGCCACAGGAGGTTCGATTCCAGCTTTGGAGCAGCAAGAAAAAAAGAAAAAATACTTTTTACTCTTTTATTTTAAATTTTTATTAAAATTCTCCAAACGACTCAGTTTGACTTAATTTTACGTTCACTTCATTGACCTTAAACCTCAGCTGTTGGTCCTCTACTTCTTCTTCTTCTCTCTATATAAATGACCGTTAGCACTCGCACAATAAACAACAACAGTGATCGTCTGCAGCGCCCCCTGCAGTTCAGTTTCCACAGTGGCGGGAAAGCTGAGGTCAGAGTGAAAGATGAGTTTCTCAACTCATTCATCGACCGGAGCTAACTGCAGGGGCTCATGGGAAATCGTGGACTCCTGCAGCTGAACCGTGTCAGGCGTTCACATGTCGACGCAGCTGCTCACACACATCACCCCCGGGTCGTCACACACTCACAAAGGAGTCCTTTTTCCTTCCAGCGGCAGCAGGTGGACGCTGACATCGACGCGGTCTCACGGTCTCCTCGCACAAACACGGCGTCTACACTGACGAGGCCGGAGCTGCTGACTCAGCATCTGCAGCCCGCTCCAGGCCGTTCCTGTGGATCGTCCGGTACTTCGTCCTCATGTCCTTCAGCAGCAACAGAACCTCCTTCTGTTCTTCTGGATCCTCACTGCCGTCTGTACACAAATAAAAACAAAAACAACTGAGTTGATAAGGTTTGTTGTCAGTGTGAAGTGGAACCACAGGGTTCTTACTGCAGGGAGCGGCTCTCACTGACGAACGCCCTCTGATCTGGTGGAGCAGCTCGTCCACCCGGTCTCTCGGCCTCTTCCTGGGCTTCAGGGGAGGAAGCTGTTGATCTGTAGATTAAAAAAAAAAAAAGAAAAGTTAAACTTAACGTGTACATTTGTCATATTTGACAGTAATTACAGCAGTGAGGAGGAAAGAGAAACAAACCCTCTTCACTTTCTCTCTGTACGGCATCTGGACGCCGTCACTCCGAGGTTTGGACTCTCTGTAAACATTAAGATTCTTCAGCGTGTGTTCCAGCATCCGAACAGCTGTTTGAATTCCTGATGGGAATGGGGGAAAAAAAAAATTATTTAACGTCCCGTGCTGCCCCCCACTCAAGACAGAAAGTTTTTTTTTTTTTGATTAGGAGTCCCTGACCGATGGTGGGCCCGTCGTCAGACTCTGGTTCTGTCTCCATCAGCTGTTGGTACTGGTTCTGCTCCTGGTTCTGTGCCGTTCCGTCTTCATCAGCCTGAAGTTCAAGCTCGTCCTCTGAGAAGTTTTCTGCCTGAACATGAACCTTCGTTATTTCATGGTCAGCCTGTGAATCTGTGTGTCTTTGTAATGACCGGACGTGAGCGGTGTGGACCTGAGTGACGAAGACGTTTTCTGTCTCCTCTTTTCTCCTCTCGTCCTCTGGAATTTCCCCCCGTTTTTTCCCAGGTTTCTCCTCCAACATCGACCTTTTTGACACCTGTGGGATTTTCTCTCTCAGCTGTGAATTAAAAAAAGTAAATATAAAGAATGTCCGATAATATCGGTCGACCGATATTATCGGCCTGTGATTAGCATAATTATGTAATATCTGAAAGAATCGCTATCGTTTTTTCCTCCGATAATGTCAATCCGATAACGCATTGCCTGGGTTTCGCCAAATACGCTGGAGTCGCTTGTGGGGTCTGGAGACGTTTACTGCAGTTTTGGGGAAAAACTGCTCCATATATCGATATTGGTTGTTTGGACGATATCGATATATTGGAAGTTAATATCGTACATCTTTAACACCATTAAAACAATTTCACTTCTTCTCCAAAATGCCTTATTTTCAGTCTTAAACCTGCACCAAAAAAACTCAGAATTTCCCTTAAAATTCAGCAAAAAAAAAAAAAAAAGCCCAAGGGAATCTGGTTTTGGTTTCAATGTAAATGATAAAAAAATGCCTTGGCAGTGGCTCGAGAATTTCTAAACTTCAGCCTGGGAAACTGAGACCTGAGGCACGACACGGAGGGGAGACAGAGATCGGAGAAACTCAGGCTTCACACGGGGTCTGGGCCCCACCTTCCACTGTGGGTT